AGGGCAGCCTTGATGGAGTCCAACTCTCACCAGAAATGAGTCCGACTTACTACCAGCAATGCGGACCAAGCTCTGACACTGGTCATACAGGCACCTGACAGCCTGTATCAATGGGCCTGGTACCCCATACTTCCAGAGTACCCCCCACAGGAGTCCCCCAGTGATACAGTCAAATGCCTTCTCCAAGTCCACAAAACACATGTAGACTGGTTGAACTCCCATGCACCCTCCAGGACCCTGCTGAGGGTGTAGAGCTGGTCCGCTCTTCCATGACCAGGACCAAATCCACACTGCTCTTCCTGAATTTGAGATTCAACTATCCAACAGACCCTCCACTCCAGGACCCCTAAATAGACCTTACCAGGGAGGCTCAGAAGCGTGATCCCCTATAGTTGGAACACACTCTGCCCATCTGCCAATCCAGGGAAACTGCCCCTGATGTCCATGCCATATTGTAGAGTTGCGTCAACCAACACAACTCCACAACATCCAGAGCTTTAAGGAACTCCAGGCGATCCTCATTCACTCCTGGTGCCTTGCTACCGAGGAACCTTTTAAGCACCTCAGTAACCTTGGGGAGGCTGTGGCAGGGTGGTTAGGGGAGTCGTCCTGGAACTGGAAGGTTGTCGACTCGATCCCCCGTCAGCTGCCTCAGTTGTTGTGTCCTTGGGCAAGACACTTCAGCCCTAATGCCTCTGATGTGTCCCATCAGTGTATGAATGTGATTGGCACTGATTAGTCTCCATAGATGATTGTATATGTTAGCTTTGAAGGAGATCTGGTAGAGTGGTGTGAATGGGTAAATGAGGACACAGATTGTAGAGTGAAGAGCTTTGAGTGTCTGGATGGATAGAAAAGTGCTGTATAAGTACAGTCCATTTACCATTTAACTCGGCACCAGAGATTGGACAGTCAGGGTCCTCAGGCTCTGCTTCCTCATGGGAAGACGTGTCGGTGGGATTGAGGAGGTCTTCAAAGTATTCTGCCCACCGACCCACAACGTCCCAAGTTGAGGCATCCCCACCATAAATAGTGTTTTTGGTAACGTTTGGGCCTGCCAGGTCTGACCAGCATCCTCCTCCACCAACGGAGCCACCTCACCACCAGGTAGTGGTCACTTGACAGCTCCGCCCCTCTCTTCACCCAAATGTCCAAAACATGCAGCCACAGATCAGATAAAACAACAACAAAGTCGATCATCGAACTGCGGTCTAGGGTGTCCTGGTGCCACATATGGACACCCTTATGTTTGAACATGGTGTTTGTTATGGACAATCCATGATGAGCACAAAAGTCCAATAACAAAACACCGCTCAGGTTCAGATCGGGGGGGCCGTTCCTCCCAACCACGCCTCTCCAGGTCTCACTGTCATTGCCCACGTGAGCATTGAAGTCCCCCAGCAGAACAAGGGAGTCCCCATTAGGAGCGCTCTCCAGCACCCCCCTCCAAGGACTCCAGAAAGGGTGGGTAATCTGAACTGATGTTAGGCTCATAGGCACAAACAACAGTCAGGACCCCTCCCCCTACTCGTAGACGGAAGGAGGCTACCCTCTCATTCACCGGGGTGAACCCCAACGTACAGGCACCAAGATGGGGGGCAATAAGTATGCCCACTCCTGCTCGGTGTCTCTCAGCATGAACAACTCCAGAGTAGAAGAGTGTCCAACCCCTCTGGAGGAGACAGGTTCCAGAACCAGAGCGGTGTGTCGAGGTGAGTCCAACTATATCTAGTCTGAACCTCTCAACCTCACACACCAGCTCAGGCTCCTTCCCCACCAGAGAGGTGACATTCCACATCCCTAGAGCAGCTTCTGTAGCTGAAGATCAGACCCCCAAGGTCCTTGTCTTCGACCACTGCCCAACACACATTGCGCCTGACCCCTACAGCCCCTCCAACAGGTGGTGAGCCCGTGGGAAGGAGGGCCTACATCTCCTCTTCGGACTGTGCCAGACTGAGCTCGATGGATGAAAGCCCGGCCACCACGCACTCGCCAACTTGCCCCACCTCCAGGCCTGGCTCCAGAGTGGGGCCCCGGTGATCCACGCCCTGGCGAGGGAACACTCAGTCCATTTACGGCACTTATCATTAAGGGTCTTTTGGCTGTGCTTTGTTTGATCCCTCAACTAGAACCAGTTTACCTTGGGTGATCCTACCAGGGGCATGAAACCCCTGACAACATGGCTCTTAGGATCATTGGGGACACTCAAACCTCTCCACCACAATAAGGTGGCAGCCCAGTGAGAGCCCCGTCCACATGTCTGTCCTTATCTCCCCAACCCTCCTGTCCTCATGTCTGTCCCTGACCCAGTGTCTCAGATGGATGCTAAATAAAAACTGATGAGGTAAAAAAGGGAAGTCTTCTGTGATTCTGTGGACCACCACCAGGAGGCGCTGTTACTGCACTGTGAGGAGAACCAGGAGGTTTTCCTGGGTTTCACCTCCTTTTTGGCTCCTGTTCAGTCTGAGACCTACATGTTAGGACTTAATCTCACACTCTGGTCCCTTAGGTGTCCTTGAAAAAAGACAGGACAGACCCTTACATTGCTCTTCCTGTTTCTGTTCCTTCCTCTCTCCTCTGTCCGTCCGCAGGCAGAGTGTTTGTCAGTGTGTCTCTCACCTCCCTCCCACAGTCCACTTCCTCTCCCTGTCTGACTGACTCCCAGTCAGAGTCAGACAGGAGCAGAGGAAGAAGCAGCGGTGGTCGCTCTTACAGGGACTTTTTGTGTTTTGTGTGTGGACCATCCATGTGCTCTGTGCATGAGAGCAGTGAACGTCTTACCTGTGGAAGATGAAAGTTTTACAGATTTATTCCTGCAGCTTCAACAAGATGAAGAGACCAGAGAGGCGTTCAGGTACCATTCAGTTTCATTCATAAAAATGTGATGGATTTTAATTAATACAGATTTAAGGACAGGAAACAGATTTATGTGAAAAGGAAGCTGTTTAATGCAGACAGGAAGCTGCAGACAGGAAGCTGTTTAATGCAGACAGGAAGCTGTTTAATGCAGACAGGAAGCTGCAGACAGGAAGCTGTTTAATGCAGACAGGAAGCTGTTTAATGCAGACAGGAAGCTGCAGACAGGAAGCTGTTTAATGCGGACAGGAAGTGTTTACTGCAGACAGGAAGCTGTTTAATGCAGACAGGAAGCTGTTTAATGCAGACAGGAAGCTGCAGACAGGAAGTGTTTAATGCAGACAGGAAGCTGTTTAATGCAGACAGGAAGCTGTTTAATGCGGACAGGAAGCTGCAGACAGGAAGCTGCAGACAGGAAGCTGTTTAATGCAGACAGGAAGCTGTTTAATGCAGACAGGAAGCTGCAGACAGGAAGCTGTTT